CGCCGCCCCCCTGCCCCCTCCCCTCCCACTCCTTCCTTCCTTCCCTGTCTCCCCCCTCTACTGTTGTGACATGCCCCGGCCACATTCTGGCCGCAAGCACCGGCTGTGTAACTTGAAATTTTGGAATTTCTTTTAAAATAAAAAATTGCACTGGGCCGCATTACGAGCTGACCTGGGCCATATGCGGCCCTCGGGCCGCAGGATGGACAAGCCTGGTCTATATTGTACATTGCATGGTCTCTGTCTACCCCTAGTGTCCAGTTCTAATAAATACAACCTGGAAATATGTACAGTATAAACATGCAGCAGATAAGTGAATCAGCGGATCCTGATCCTGTGGATAGGCCAAAGTTTAGGATACTGATCCTGTGGATAGGCCAAAGTTCGGCAGGTAGCTACCAGAGGCAGAGCTTTTTTCATTGACTACTATGGGCTGGAATAGTTGGTGGCACACATCCTGGCCTTAGAAGCAGGGAGGCAGTAAAAGAGCCATTTTTGAGATCCGTCACTCACAGACCACCACCGCCGGAGATCTGTAGGGAGCTTTCCTTCCTTGGGAGCCAATGGCTGGATTACTCCGGAGAAAATAAATCCAGTCTGACAAGGTCGTATGCATTTTTGTTAATAATTCCGAAGTTGAAAATGGGAAGATGAATGGCTTTTCCTGAATCTTTGCACTGAATCTCTGTGTGTGTGTGTGTGCTGCGCATTTTGGCATGGCCAAGGTTTACCCTCTGCTGATTTCTCCTGCCTGGTGGAAAAAAGAAAGATACGGGCAATCGTGTTCTGCATTTTTTTTTTGTCACAGACTCACAGAATAGCTGTGGTGCCATAAGTAAGCCTGTTAATGTATCTAGTTCACAGCAGAGTTTTTAAATACATGTGATATATAATAATGGGAATAGAAGGGGTGGGGGAGGGATTTTTAAATATTGGGACCACTTGTGATCATTCCATGTCTGTCCCTGATGAAACAGTGTCAACCTGGAGACTAATGAATAAAACAAATTATATCAAAGGCTGGATTTATTTTTTCTGATAATTTTTTACTGGGTGGTGCCTGCAGTGGTGAAATCTAACCAGAAAAACAGGAATAGAGAGCAGAAACCTGCCATGGGAGAAATCTGTGAAAGAAAAACCACAAGAGAGGAGAGGAGGTGAGGAACATGTGGTGAGATATGAAGGAGGGAGACATATAAATGAAAAGGTGATGTGTGAGAGAGAGACAAGTCAGATGCATGTGCGAGAGACTGACAAGCAGCCACACTTGGGAGCGCGCACCACTGATCATATTGGCTAGGAGATTATTTTTGGCATTTGCAGATTGCTGACGGGTATACAGATACTGAGAAAAATCCCGCTGTACAACTTTGCACCAGTGTAACCTGAGAGCAGCCATGAAATCAAAAGAGGCCTGCTTCTTGGGAGGAAAGCAATGACAAACCTAGACAGCATCTTCAAAAGCAGAGACATCACCTTGTCGACAAAGATCCGCATCGTCAAAGCTATGGTTTTTCCAGTAGCGATGTATGGAAGCCAGAGCTGGACCATCAAGAAGGCTGACCGCCGAAGAATTGATGCTTTTGAATTGTGGTGCTGGAGGAGACTCTTGAGAGTCCCCTGGATTGCAAAGAGAACAAACCTATCCATTCTAAAGGAAATCAACCCTGAATGCTCACTGGAAGGACAGATCCTGAAGCTGAGGCTCCAGTACTTTGGCCATCTCATGAGAAGAGAAGACTCCCTGGAAAAGTGTCGGGAAAGTGTGGAGGCAAGAGGAGAAGGGGACGACAGAGGACGAGATGGTTGGACAGGGTCATCAAAGCGACCAACATGACTTTGACCCAACTCCGGGAGGCAGTGGAAGACAGGGCGTGGTGTGATTTGGCCCATGGGATCACGAAGAGTCGGACATAACAACTAAACAACAGCAACCTGGACTGGGCACTAGAAACATTTAGTTCAAACTCATGGAAAAATTCCTGTCTCCCCATTTCAACTTTTGAGACTCTCTCGTGAGACAGCAGAGACGTGCATGCACCATTTTGACGGGAGCTGGCAGCTATCATCAGTTAATGGGCTATGTGGCAAAGGCAAGTATTTAAGAGAAGCTGATAATAAAACAGAAGATCATCTAACAGATCATGCTACTCTTCATTCAATAGTCAGGGAATTGCTGCAGTCTAATTTTGATGTCAACATTCAGATTGTGGCATTTCAATAATTTTCTTGCATTGTGATCTCTCTGGTCAACATTTTATTTCACTTCGGATCGAGCCACTTGAGACAAGCCAATAAATATTTCTGAAATGAAACTGTGTTTCTCTCTTGTTTTGTGTCACCAAGCTTTCCACTACCAAACAAAAAACAAAACACACAAGTCCCAAACACAAACATGTGCACACACACATGCAGGAACCTCCCGTTTCCCATAGAAAATTATTTCCTGAACTTTTTTTTAAAGTACATCTCTTTCTGAGGCTCTGATGGGCATTTCATCTCCTCAGTTCTGTCTCTGATTTTCAGTACAAAATCGGGAATACATTTCAAGACCGTCTCACTTGTTTTTCTCAATGCAGTCTCTTATGTCTGATTTGATGATGAAAACCAGGCAAAAAAGGGGGGAAAAGGACTAACAATTAAAATTTTAAATATGCAAAAACCTTGTGGCACCTTAAAGACTATTATAGTTTAATGTAAGCTTTCATGGACACGTCTGCTTTGTCAGACATGGCCAGGTGTTTGTTTCCTGTCTCCTGTAGGATAGTTTACAACTGTACCCTAAAACAAATCGCTCTCTGTAGATGTACCATACCAAGAGCCATTGAATATTTAAAATGTTTTACTTGTTAAACTGTTGTTTCATTCAACATTTCATTCTGTTTCCATGTCTGATGAAGTGGACGTGTCCACAAATGCTTACATTAAAATTAATAATCTTTAAGGTACCACATGTTTTTGTCTTGTTTTGTTTCTTTGTCCACAAATGCTTACATTAAAATTAATAATCTTTAAGGTACCACATGTTTTTGTCTTGTTTTGTTTCTTTGTCCACAAATGCTTACATTAAAATTAATAATCTTTAAGGTACCACATGTTTTTGTCTTGTTTTGTTTCTTTGTCCACAAATGCTTACATTAAAATTAATAATCTTTAAGGTACCACATGTTTTTGTCTTGTCTTGTTCTTCAACGTGGTTCTCTATGAATCCACACCAGTGGGTTAAGACAGCGCCTGCGCTGGGCTCTCGGAATCTTCCAGAGCTAAAGAGAAAAGTAACAAAGTTTAGGTTGCCCTATACAGCGCATGGCCTGCCCGCCAACGGCTCAGTTCCATTTTTCCGCCCGCGGAGTTGGAACCTCTCGGTTAGAGCTGTGAGATTCTACTACCTGGATTATGGGGATTGTAGTATATATATGCCTGTTGAGAGCTTCCCTTAACCCCTCCTTTTCTCCTTCTGTGAGTGACTCTCAGCACTTCCACCAGGGGGAAATTAAAAAAATCAATGCTCCTTCAGCCGTTCTTTCTAGGACTTTCATCTATGGTTCGTGTACTCTCTGGGCGACGAACCGAAATGTGGTTAACCTCTTATCACATCTATGATCAATTTATTCCTCTCGAAGAAGCGGAAGTTAAGCCTTGCCGTCCGTCAGCGTTCTACTCTATGTTCTCCGGCTACCGGAAGCAGAAGGTCCTAGTCTAAAAGGTTCCCCCCTGCACGAAATGGGAAGGGGTTTGTTTAGTTTGTGGGTCGCAGGAGGGGAGCCTTTAGGCAGGGGTTACCTGCGTGAGGTGAACTTCTGCCTAAATAAATGAAATGGTTTATAGGGGAAATTGTTATATGGTGAAATAATCCGAGTTTGTTATACTTTGGTGGCTTTCAAAAAAGTATTTGCATGAGGTAGTAGTGGAGATTGCTTTATTGGGCAACAGGATTTCAGCCAAACAGCATAACTTTTGGAAGAGAATTTTTATAAGTTAAGAAATTTCTATAGACATTATTTGTTGCATACCAAGTTGCATGACTCAGTGTGGAACAGGTAAGGTCTAAAGAGATTTTAAAGGCAGTTTGCCCCTGAAAGTTACGCTGTTTGCGCAACAGGATTTCAGCCGGTATGTTTAAGCTTGTTCCAGATTGCTTTCAGTTCTACACATTTGTTGAGAAGGCATATTTTCTAAACAGCTCTGACTTCATAGACACCACATCTGTTTTAATAAAATTGGTAGACCACTCACCTGCTAGGCGAAACCCTTTTCAGTGGTTGGTTTATCTTTCCTTTGATCCTGAATAGAGATGGGGGTATTTGTATTCGTATACAAATACGAATAGCCCCACATAAGTGGAGATAACGAGAGGGTCCGGCAGGAGGCGGGTTGCAATCTCCAGAGCAATAGGATGGCAGAGTGGACCCTGCTACGGTAGTGCATCGGCGAGTGGACCATCTGGCCCCGTGGGGACAGACCCTCGTTATCTCCACCTCTGTGGGAGTATTTGTATATGAATCCGAATACCCCCATCTCTAATCCTGAACTTGTTACTGAATGGTAACAAACTGACCTTTTCGATTGCTTTCAGTTCTACACATTTGTAGAGAAGGCATATTTTTCTAAACAGTGGATTCATCAAGCAGTGTCTGAAAGCAATCAGTTGCATGTTCTCTTTTATTACAGACCTAACGTGATTACAGCCTAGGGGCCAACATGAATCCCAGTGAGCAGTCCAAGCCACAAGCCCCTACCAACGCAACAAAAAGAAACACTCACATCCTTGTGGGTGTGACTGGAAGTGTGGCTGCCTTAAAGTTGCCTCTTCTTGTATCTGAGCTCCTAAAGATACCTGCCGTGAGTATCTAACACAGGGACAGAACTGAATAACTGGTGACTCTTGAACATGCAAACAGAGGCACGTTTTGAGGTCTCTTGTGCTTCGTGGCCAAAAATCTGTTGTTTGATGTGATAAAACACACTGGAGTAGGCCCATTGAATCAGTGGCGATTGGGTGAGTCATCTCCTCCATAAGTTCCATTGATTCAAATGGGCCACCTCTAACTGATACTTTAGTATAGTAAGTCACAACTAGAGTAGATTGATTTCACCAAATGACTGACTCACCAAATGGCCACCATTCAATGGCCCTGCTCCAGTGCAATGTACTGTATTATCTTAAGCAACAGGATTTTTGCCAGTGAGTTTGCTTAAAAAATCTGTGATGTAAAAACAATAACACAACGGCTGTTAGCACCATAACGAGTTTTTAACTACCACTGTTTATTTGGCATAAAGTTTCACAGGCTGCAATCCAAGAAATGTTTTGCCAGATATACCTTTTCAGCCTTTAAAGAGCCCCACACTCTTTGTTATGGCTTTTGTTATGACATATTAACATGGCTACCTGCTGGAAATGCCATCTGGGGAAATGTTAACATTTTTGATTGCTAGGATTCTGTTACCTGAGAGGTTTTTTCCCCCAGATGTTTTTGATTTAGAAAAGCATCTAGGGACTTTTGAGCGGGGGGGGGGAGCTGTATTGCTGCATGCTAAGAAGTGTGCTTTACACACAGAAGGTGGCAGATTTGATCCCTGGCATTTCCTGACTAAAGAACTGAATACCACGTGATGGGATTTGTGAGAGCTGCTTCTGGTTAGAGAGGACAGAATTGGTATACCTGGTTTAATAGAACTCTCGTGTCTCCTTAAATTGGAGCTTTGAAGTGTTACTTTTATAAGGACAGTTCCTGTAATCCACCAAACAATGTGGGCATTTAATGTAGTGTTTTTTTTTGGGGGGGGGAAGGGAGATGTGGATGTGGTGGCGCTGCAGGTTAAACCGCCAAAGCCTCTGTGCTGCAAGGTCGGAAGATCAGCAGTCGTAAGGTTGAATCCGCATGACAGAGTGAGCCCCCGTCACTTGTCCCAGCTCCTGCCAACCTAGCCATTTGAAAGCATGTAAAAATGCAAGTAGATTAATAGGTACCACCTCGGTGGGAAGGTAGCGGCGTTCCATGTCTAGTTGCGCTGGCCATGTGACCACGGAAACTGTCTTCGGACAAATGCTGGCTCTATGGCTTGGAGACAGGGATGAGCACCACACCCTAGAGTTGGACACGACTGGAC